GCGAGACCGCCAGGACTGATACGGCTGCCCAGGTAAACAAATTTGTCTACTGCCCTAATCGGTTCATCCGCAAGCGTGGGGCTAAGGTTTGAACACACCCAGTCTTGCAATAGCACTTCACACTTTGCAGGCGTGAAGCGCATGCCGAACCGTGAGGCAGAATTATTTAGATTATTTAATACTGTTTGCATTACCGCGGGGTCAGATCCAAGAAGAGCTATGTCGTCTGCGTACTCGATGTCTGTGAGCGGAGGCCCAGGGAGCACTTCGACCCCGCAGGCATTAGAGGCTGGTAGTATGATCGTATCAATGACACATGAAAATGGACTTGCATTTTGATGCGCGGGTTGCCAGTTTGGCTATGTGATTTGCCTCAATGAACTGTACTCTGCTAACCAACTCCTTGTTCTTTTTGCTTCAGGCCATTCAAAGTGCGAAAGAACAGTTGAAATTATCGCTGATGAAATGAAAGTATTTTCCTTCCTTTTGCATATCACTGTGATTTGATGTATCCTCTTGAAATATTGCTTGTTTCATCAGAAGGGATGTTCGTTTTGCAATTTTGTGGTAAAGATGTTCGAATCACACTTCTCTCTTTGTGTGACACTCGTTCTGTCTTCCGATTTGACGAACTTGAAGAAATGTGGCGACACTGTCTTCGTGTGTTCGGCGGACGCACTTGGTTGCTTGTTTTTACATGCTTTGTATGCTGGGCAATCTACGAAGATCAATGAATGATACGTCATCCTTAGTCTATTCAAGTGGCAATGCTCTTGGATAAGCTGCTTTGGCTGCGAACGTTAAAACGAGACAATCAACCAACACAGACAGGTGCTACTTAATCTTACTGAGTTTCGGGAGCTCGTGTACTGCTTAGTAGTATTCGTCTGTGAAACTAGCTTTCAAGCATTTAACGCGATGCTCGGTTGGAGAAAAAATGACTGGGTGTCTCATGGTCGCATTGATCCTCGCGTCCAGACTGGTCGCTGATTAGGAACTAGTTGCTCTACGTGTGAGAACGGACTGGAATATCTTCCTGTTTCCCTGTACTCCCACCTAGGCGCGAGAGTGGGTGCATACACAACACAAGTTATTTAGCTCGTCACGCCCGACATCGGTAGCTGTCTCAATCTAGTCCGTTTTGGAAAATTCTGCCAACAGCCTACAACTCTGTACCGTGGTCCCCACCCTTCAGTTCACACTCCCATGTTCAGACCGTTCCACTGCCGTCCTGAAAGTCAAGAGAGGGGCAACACAGCAGTCAGATACTGATTCGAGGATATGGGGAATGCTATCCACCGTAGACGCGGTGTAAATCAGTCCACAGACGAGGCTAAGTCAGGCGAATCAACTTCAAACAACAGAATCTGGCTTACGGTGGGACCACGTCGCATGGAACACCGGACCGCCGTGACATATCCCCGAAGTGGATCCCAGATCTTGTCTACTGCCCAATGGACGGACCGACATGCGACAACAGCTCCTCAAGCCTTCACAACTGAGGTCAAAGCAGGGGTCAAACGAACGACGTCCTTAATATGGAGATATCCGGAGGCCATGACATGGATTGGACGGATGTGCCACGTGCGGGCTATGGAATAAACAAAGGTGTCCAGAATGTCGAACAGTCAAGACCGAGCATGTATGGCTCGACGTTTCTCGTACCCTTGCCTCAAACACGCTACACAGAGGGGCCGGGTATCCAAATGTTCCGTATACAGTCCTCGGTGGTCCTCGTGAATGAACACTCAAAAGTGGGACCAAACTATCCTGACTCAGAAGCCGTTATCACTACGTCTACTAATACTGTCGAAGAGCTCACGAGGTCTCAGCTATTGAGGCGCGAAATTACTGATAAGGATGTCCGTATTTGGAATCCAACCTATGCATCACGACTGTCTTTTTTTTAAGCTTACGAAGCCAGGATTTGTCTCGGCCCTCTTGCTTCTTTCGGGTGGCATTTCAGCTAGGCACCGAAAGGGTGATACAGGTGAACAGCTGCTCCCATTTCATTATCTACCTGGATAGTAAGTGACTGGGCCTTCACTTGTTAAGTACTTACGGTTTGCGGTGACAACTTCGGAGCAGGATATCCTGGCACTAAGTTTGTTGTGGAAGCACTATTCAACCCGTATTTCCGAGGCTGCCAATAAGCTGCATGTTTGGCGTGCATTTCGGGTTCAAATAGAAAATAGGGTTATCGGAAGCTCGGAACTGCGCCTCCCTTAGGAACGCCTTGTTTTCAAGCTATTCCTGGTGGGCGATCGGAATGCATGGGTTTTAGATTAGACGGGCTTTCCCCCGTCAACCCGTCGGTTTGGTACCTCCACTGCTGAGACTTTTTAATTTGTTCTTCGAAACACTTGTTCAAATGAAGTGATGTTTCACCGCTCATGCTTGTCCTTGGCTTCGTTTTCCCCTTTATGGTGTACCAAAAGCTACGATGGCTTGAGACAGTCTGCTGAGAGGGAGGAAGATGACCATAACTGCGTTTCTGGAGAAAACAGAATGATCCAGAGTAACGCTAAAGACTAGTGGGGTCAAGCCGAAATGCGTCGATCTTGATCGACTCGGGTCTTGGGACAGTTCGCCATACATCCGCCCAATCTAGCTGATATTTAGTTGACCCGCTCCCTGACACGAAATTTTGTCCATCAAACACAACATAAAAATTGCTTATGATGAACTTTATAGTTTGTCCTGATCTACTGGCGGTCTGTTGGGATGCCTTTGGTGCTTTTCATTGTTCCCTGCACCTAATGTGCGGATGAGCTGTGTACTCAGGGATATTTTGCTGACATGTTTTGTGAAAGAAGAGTTAATCATTCCAGCTTCGATAATAAGTAGCCGCGCGTCAGTTAGAGCGACCTTGCGGAGCGAAATTTCAAGATAGCCAATCTAGTTCAATAGCTAGCGGACATCCAAAGGCGTATCGTGTTTGCCACTCTGCTGCAAAGGATCAGTTTACAAGGATTCTGTCGCGGTTTCAAACCCGGAAAATTCTTCCGAAGATGCCTGGGTATAACACTATCGGTTGGCTCCAATCTTTTATACACACCATCGCAATTTCGTGTAAAATCAACTGACTGACGGGCCCTAGTAAAATTCTCCTAGCCTAGAGATATAAAAGCTTTCAGGAATATTTAGCGAGTTGGCTGATGTAATAGAGAAGATGGATAACTACCGCTTCAATCTGTCAACATCTTCTATCCGAAGAATTGTGAGATTATTCTATTCGAGGAGGCTGATTAACTTCTTCCGCGAATGCTAACAACTTCTTAGGTTATGCTCATCATCGTGTGGAACGCCGCAAAACTAAAACTGCATAAGTATTCGGTAACAGAAGTACAGAAGAAACGAGTATTGCCCCGTATTCCTTTGTGTGGGGTAAGACAGCTATGGAGTGAATACAGACGATTTCGTACAATCCAGTACACGAACACCGGACTGGAGGAAATCACAATAAAAGATACACCCATTTGCACATCTGTTTGTTTTTCACGCGGGAGTTAACTGAATCACTCGTTTATGCTCTTCTTCAACTGAATGTGCCTCACAAAGGCCCCCTCATGGTTGGTACGAATAGAGAAGATGGATAACTACCGCTTCAATCTGTCAACATCTTCTATCCGAAGAATTGTGAGATTATTCTATTCGAGGAGGCTGATTAACTTCTTCCGCGAATGCTAACAACTTCTTAGGTTATGCTCATCATCGTGTGGAACGCCGCAAAACTAAAACTGCATAAGTATTCGGTAACAGAAGTACAGAAGAAACGAGTATTGCCCCGTATTCCTTTGTGTGGGGTAAGACAGCTATGGAGTGAATACAGACGATTTCGTACAATCCAGTACACGAACACCGGACTGGAGGAAATCACAATAAAAGATACACCCATTTGCACATCTGTTTGTTTTTCACGCGGGAGTTAACTGAATCACTCGTTTATGCTCTTCTTCAACTGAATGTGCCTCACAAAGGCCCCCTCATGTTTCAGTTGGTACGACATTCGAGACATCGCAGTATATTTTCATAAAGGAGTGGGTTTAGATTGTCCATGTTTGGTCGCTCACACAGAAAGCAAGATCCAGTGATACTTTAATGGTGATACTTGGGTGCAGAAGCAGTCGCTTGGTTTCCACATAGCATAGAAGCGTATAAATTACGGACAAAAGTGGTCACGAAAGCCACAGTGCTCGAACATTGACTTTACTGGTGCATCATCTAACGTTGTAACGTCGGTGTTTAGAATAAGCGTGATATGTCCTCAAAACGGTGAATGACAGTTATTTAAGGTCCTTGTGTCAGTCAAGGCTACTGAATTAGTGGACTATGTTCCTATGCGTTCGCTGTACTGGAATCGGGGTAGATTTATCACGAATAACCGGCACGAGCACTTTCACTCCAAGAGCTGTCAGACGGAAGCTATCGGTAGGCGGTCGTTGCAATTGGAGTACTCATTTATGCGTAGGAAGACTGATACCACCAGAAGAAAAGTTTTATATTACACCATAGTACAGTAGTGCGTCGTTTTTCCCAAGATGGCACTGATTTCTTGATGAAAATAAAGACTAAATGATTGCCATTCCGGTTTCACCCATCTTGTGCTATAGAAATCAGGTCGAGAGAACTAAGACTGTGCACGTTGGGCGAGAATGGCAGTATATTGAACTCTGAATTGGATTTCTCACGAAAGTGGAAACCGGCACTTCTAACTGTTTTAGAATCCTTATGCCGATTTTTAATGTGAGTTAACATGGTCACCGAGCTTGAAAACTAATTTGCGAACGCTTGGTTACCAAACGAGAAGACACCATTGGTGCTCGGTTGGGCGGGTCCGGATCCCAACGACGGAAATACTGAGCAACAACTGAGCTAGTGAATCTGATGAAATTCTTGTATTTAGTTTATATACTCCCCAGAAATGCAAGTTCGTATTAGCCCACGGTGCCTTGCTGAGTGTAGCTCCCAAAAGTCTAACGTAATCGAATAAGTCCATTTTATTTTTGAAACTCAACCCGATAGATCTGGATTGGTTCACAGCGTGAAGTCTGAGCACATTCTAGTTTGCTGCAAAGGGAATACTTCTTCATCAGGATAGAAATATCAGTGAAAGAACTGAATCCAGCGAATCGTTAGTAACTTTAATCACTCACCAGCGCGGTTCAATCGATAAAAGCAGGTACGCATCGGTCAGGGAAGATAGCAAAAGAGCCGCCGTTCTGAGAAATGATTCGTAGACTGGAGAACTATAATCACTGAGCGGTCAACTTGCCTCGTTTATCAAACAGAGTGTCGGAAGCGAGAATTAAATCAAACGGTCGTGGTCTCCAATAACGTGTTGGAAATTCCCAGTCTAAGACACAAAAATCAAATTGAGTAATTCCATTCGACTGGGCACTGCGTAGCAGATCACCTTCCAATGTATGGTCACGATCAGAGAAGGTGACCCACGAGGCCCCGCATAGACTCGCTACCAGTCCACATAATCCAGTACCGGCACCTAACTATTGCCGTTAGACGTGATTCAAGTCACATTCACTTCTAAGATTCGTTTGCCGTGCACTTGTTCACAGTTTCCGACAATGTACTGTGATAGTGCTTCTGCACATCGCCAAGTGTATCTTCCATATTGAACGTCTGATCCGAAGGACCCTTCAAATAAGTTAGTAAATGTGCAAGTTACCTGATGAACATATAATGACATCTAGCGGATCTCCAGAAGAGCTAATAAAGGAAAATCGCTGCTCTCCCATTGTCAGCGTGAAAAATCCGTAAAAACATTCCACATTTCATATAGTTGGTGTGATTGAGTCACAAAATGAAGGCAGTGCTCTGGAATGTCGGGAAAACCATAGGCATGACGAATCTACCAGCTGTAGCACCCTATCGGTGTCCAAACGCCATACCACACCAGAAGGAAACACGAGGGCAGAGATACTACGAGGTCGCCCAAACCTAGACAAGGGAAGTTGAGAGGCAAGGGTCCGGTTCGCACTCTAACCACTGAGCCATTCTATCGCCCTTCTATCAGAAGTTTAGTTGCGAACCCACCCATTCAACTGATCGTTGATCGAGTGGCTGCTGATCTAGTTGCCGAGCCTGGCAATCGGTGTGCAAACGTTTCATCACCACCCGAGGAGGCATCATCAGTGCACAGTCTAGCGGGCGACCCACCGCTCTCCTTGGATTGGGACGAAGCGTTCACAAACCAATTGCCAAGTTGAGCAAACACCTCAACAGGCAATAAACGCGTCCAACTATCAACATTGCGACACTTTCATTCAGGTACTGTCAAATGAAGTAAGAACTAACGATAGACTGAAGATAGGTGAAAACCCTTCGATGGCACCAGGGGAAGGGAAAATAGGAATAGAGAAACGGGACGTGGGATAAAGGTAGCTTGAATCTAAACCTCAAGCTGTAACAATTTCAGTTACAAAGTAACTTATTCCGTGGCTTTAAGCGGCACTGATCAGAAGAAGAATATTAGGTATTAAGCTTATGTTTCTGGACCTAGAGGCTGAAGTATGATATCAGTATCCTTTACACCATCGACCAATATGACCGAAAAACAAAACCGTCCACAACTTTCACTCAGCTGAATTAGATGCGCAGTTGTCTAAGTTGCACAGCCATGGGGACGGAATACGACAACTTCGGTATATAACAGTAGACACATTCTTGGCTACTCCTGAATCTTTGGGGCATGACAATTCCCCCGGCGTTTCTTCACAATAGCTTGCAAGTTTCACGAAAACGGGTCCGGTAGATACGTTTAACTTCATTGTACGGCGTACTGCACAGCCGTTCTATCGACCTGGTTTTCACTCAGATCACACGCCCTCTTTCGTACTTACGGACTTCCATGTATGTCGGTGGGTCCCACCAACTCAACGAGTATCCCAACTACCTACATTCCGAGATATACTTTTCCGGCGTTGGAGCTTACTTTGTCTACAGACCTATAGCCGATCGTCTTACATTTTGCTCTAACAGGGCTGTGTTTTGGTATGACGTCTTAGTGTTTACGGCAATCACCTACAGCACTTGTATCCAAAACCTTCGTGTTTTACGTGCGTTTAAAGAATGAATCAACACGAATCTGTCAGTTCTCAGGCATATTGTGCGAGCTGAATACCGTACCTGTCGAGCCATTGCACTGACGCATGGATATCCAAAAAAATGCAGATCCTGGCCTCTACATTTGTTTGCTACAAGATCATACATTTATCTAGAAATAGAAATAATGGATTTGTGTGGTCCACCGATAGCTAGTTGCGTTGGGATTTGGGCGACCATGTCAATCAGCTAGGAAGCTATGATTTACTTCGCGTTGACTAGCTTGTCCGCTTTCGTGTCACAAAGTATGTGAAAAGAGATTGTTCAACAGGAAGATTCCAAAAAGCACATCACTTGCTTAACTCTGGAATGTGAAGTAATTATCATTACACTACAAATGGCACCCAGGTTTCAAGACCGTCAGATCTTGTTGACTCCCTTTCCGTCAATTTACTTTAGCTGAGCCAATCCTTGGGATCACTTGCTGGCTGCTTAAAAATTTGTGATTTTTCACCTACCGTACTGTGAAATCGCCCACACAACTGGGGTGTAGAGTGGACTTTGGGTTTATGATCAATGCTTACTGCCCACAAACGTGCTGCATCTGCTTACTCCATCTTCCGGACATATAACTCAAAATGAATCGTAAGTTTAGAGTACGGAGAACTTTACAGAATTTGGGGAGTAGTTAGCGTTCGTATAACACTGCACTACTTTTTTTCATTCAGCTGTAGCACTACTGAGGAATAGTGATCCCAATCACCGACATTTCTATTTTCCATGACCCTGCGTATTAAGCATATTGTCAGTAGCTAACTTTGCTTCAACACATGCAGCTCAGTTGAGATGATCTACGTATGCGCTGACGCGTTCCGTTAACCAAAAATTAGCAGTTACTGAGGAAAAAAGTATAAGAAAGGATATTCAGCGGTCGGAGAGCTTACGAGAATACTGAAACAGGGCTTCAGTCGTCTTCATAAGAGCCATCTCAATGCTTTTTCTTCTTAAGTTGCCGTGAAGGGTGATTAGCCTTAGATTATCTCTGCTTTGACCTTGAAAAATAAAAACCGGACGCGCTGTATCTACCGCCACCAAAGATAGCATAACGCCAGACGTGAAGAACATGAAGCAACTGAGGTCAAGCAAACCTTGTAATCACCATCTGCTTTCGTCCTCGTTGCCCTGTGTGGTAGCATTCTCAGCTAACCAACTTCTGTTGTTTATGGATTAACTTTTCATTGGAAAAATTCCTGACTGTTGATATGTTGCCGAAGAAAAAAACAATCTAGGCCTATCTCATGTAATTCCGTTTTTCTGAAGATGTTTGAACGAGTGCTCATGAACTGAATGCAGGTCATCGTGGTGGATCACGACTGTACCAATTTACATATCGTCAATCCCCTACACAGTAGACACCGCTGTGTACGTAGCTCATTCCGTCACTTACTCCTTACTCATACAAAAGCTAATGCTGTTCATTCATTGCAGTGATGATTTTGAAAACTAACAAGGGGGAATAAACCCAACTACTGACCGACGCACACAATGGACAGTCCGGCCAATCTGACTTAATACTAATTCCCCAACTACACACAACTCAAAAGCGTAGTTAGCTAATTTTCTTCAGTGCCGACTGATAGCGAGACCACTCGGACACTAAATCTCACTTTTTCCCGCTGACCATGATCATACATTTGGAGCTTACAGCACCATAGGTGTAAGAAGACGTGTGAACTGCAGATGGACGCTTAGGTGTGTTTGCCACAGGATGACTATGATCTGCTTCATTGTCACGATTAGTTTTAACGATGAACCGGCGAGGAAGAAAAAGCCGATAACAGCCTCCTGCAGAAATAGTGAAAATCGCACTCTACCTGACCATCTTACTCATGTGAACTAGCATCATAAGTAGCCGACAGATGAGGTCCTGGGTAGGGGGAGGGCGAAGATGCCCAAGTTTTAAACCGGGAGTACAGCAACGACGCGAAAAGATGTCTGAAGTAAAACAACTTAACAAAATAGGCTGATGGCATGAAAAAGCTACCAATCAGAATAAAGTAACTTATCTAGTACGTGTTAACCATCCGTTGGGCATCCTCTTTTGCCTGAAGAATAATAGAATCAGCAGCCCGACTAGGCTAGAATATTGTTTGCCGGATTCCCTTTGTGGGTCCAAAAGATTACCGCACAACTTCACAGGTTTTGGTACGTACCATGCATCTGAGGCCACGTACGGAGTAGGGTTTTTCGCAAACTTTCCATGACTACGAAGGGCTAGAGTGCTGATAATTTACTGTTTCGGCTATCAGTCCGGTGAAAACAGATTAGACTCAATTGAATGCGACAGGCGTTCAGATCTGTTCACTGAATCAAAGGATTTTCTCTGACGCGTGAGACCAATTATGAAGAGATAATAACATGTAGCAGAGAGCTGCTTTTTCATTTATAAACTCTGCAGACTTTGACACTGGTTTATTTATCCTTACCGATCCAATTAGTTCAGTAAATGCTGTAAATCCGTAAACGTCGAATTGTCAAACCTGTTGAAGGCGGAAAGTAACAAAAACAATCTCACAATGTGTCCGTCTTGCGTCTTTCCACGTGAACACATATGATCCCAACTGCCCTCACCGTAGTGATACCAGCGCGGCATTTTGTAGGCATTGCAGATGATGGCGGGTAAAACAGTTACGTCCAGCTGCGGCCATAAAGGAAGAAGTGGACTACGTCAGCCAGTAATGATTCAAGAGGACACCAGAAGGGTACGATGGAATTATGGCAACGAGAAGGGTCGTCTCGAAGAGAAAGTTAAAATTTCACGACAAACCAACCTTCATCCTCAAAGAGTGGGTCCTGAAGTTTGAAAACCGGGCGCGGTAAAAGCTTAATCAAAATGTGTTATGGTTTCGCCGTACGTGAACACTGACTATCTGAAGCTAATCGCAACAGTTACTTTTGAGCTCGTATGCATGTTGAGACTACTGAGGTCACAGGCTCGATGGAGTTCCCCGTATTCAATAGCATAATGGTATCCTTACGCATAACGCCCCATACATAGGCTACCTTGAGATTCTGTTCACAACATATTCAACGTAGTTCCCCTTGTTTTTTTTTTAAATAAGTCGTTGGGGTTGGTCGCGCAACAGCCGAAGACAGCCCCCTACTGCTTTTGCCCCGTTAGGGGTTCTTTTAGTATGGTCTGGTCTCCGAAAGCCGAGATGAACCGACATGAACTGCAATTTGGTCGAACTACAAAATGCCGACGGAAAGTTACCCTGTTTGCGGTTGACCCACTCGCTTTTGGTGGAACACACTATTTAGACAGGCACATCAAACCGGTGGCGTTGGAACCGTTTGTTACACTCAGTTGAACGGCTCTACTGGATGAAGAGACAAGGCTTTCGGAAATCCACTAAATTTTTACCCATAGCTTTGTAAGAAATAGCCGCCTGTTGCGCCGAAACTAGGGTTGATTTGACTGATGGGTACAGGTTGCCCTTCAGGATCATTGCAACACAGACACAAACCAAAAAATCTATCCAAACGGGATGATTGTTTGTGATCTTTAAAGATGGTTGCTGGAGTAGAGGATAAACCTAAGTTATTTCACATTCCATTGAAAAATCCGATGAAAACTGATGCGGTACTGACGTCAATCTGTCTGCTCTACAAAAGAGTATATCCTTATTGTAGCGGTACCCTAATCTCCAGGCTCACATGAAATATATCCTTGAAAAGCGTGTTACACCATTCCCTTGTTACTCGAACTCCTCAACCTATCACAACTATTGAAAACATCTGCCTAGATATTACGGTTTTAACTGTGATCGTAACATGTGGAACTCAAGAAATGGTGATACACAAGGCTATTCTTTCCAAAGTAACTTCAGTCGGCTCATTTGCATTAGCCTGGAAAAATGGTCCCTGGAGGATCCACTGGATTCCGAGGACATAAAATTACAAAACACGTTGTTGCTTTGACGTCTGACACCTTCCCCTTGTTTTATCGAAGGCCGATTCAACTTCTAACACTGCGCTAGCAATTGAAATCATTATTGTTCGCACTACAAGTCTTCTCTACTTGACAAGATATCCAGCCAACGTACTTTTTTAATAGATAGTTTGAACCTAGGGCTTCAAGCCGGACAACTCAACCTACTTTCCTTCTCCGTGTTCCTCTATCGCATTGCTAACTCGATCGTGATTTGGTATCTCCTCATAAATAAAACTTGCATATGGATCAGTTGATGTTCGTTCCTCATCCCATTCTATTCATGACAGAGTGAAACGCTCATGTGATGGATTGCGGTGCTATTCGTCCAACACAATCCGCATATATATTTATTCAAATAAATACCTGCTGGATAGTGTCATCTTGAGGATGATGGAATACGGCCAGGTTGTGCAATTTGATGGGTTGTCCTTAGGCGGATCCCGGTAACATCTGTATGGTGCCTACTGGGGGAGGTGCGGCACTAGGTTGAAAATTAGGGAAACAGACGGATGGAGCCAGTCTCTCGATGATAAACAGATAACTGGTGTCGGTGCACACTGATACGACATCACACCCAGGCCGGCCGATGGATTGTGACGGGTCTCACCCACCACTATTATTCCCTTTGGTTCACATCGGCGCCAAGGGCTCGCGCGCAGCAGCATATTCGAGTCCGCGCAAATCGTCCGTTGCTTCTTACTTCGCGCAGGCATCCAGTGGTTTGGCTACTGGTGACTGGCGAATCCAAATCGGGTGCCGGTCGCCGCGTTCAGATTGGTTCACCAGCATGATATGAACTTTGGTTTACTTATCTCAGAAACTAATCAGTTTTCATGTTTGAGCTCCTTAAGCCCTTCCAAAAACAACTAGCTGCTCTCTTACTCAGCGTTTTGCAGCATAAGAATGCGGTCGACAGTTCGCTACATTTACCACTGGGTTCACAGCTGTCATCGCTGAGCTCAAACTGTGGAACCAACGCAGTCATCCATAACAGACTAAGTTTCAAATGACGCAACACACAAGCACTTTAGGTAAGAGATTTGAACAATCGGGGCCTGTAGACTTGCGCATGAAAACATGAGTTGTACATGGTCCTTTTGGGGTTTGAGCTCCTTAAGCCCTTCCAAAAACAACTAGCTGCTCTCTTACTCAGCGTTTTGCAGCATAAGAATGCGGTCGACAGTTCGCTACATTTACCACTGGGTTCACAGCTGTCATCGCTGAGCTCAAACTGTGGAACCAACGCAGTCATCCATAACAGACTAAGTTTCAAATGACGCAACACACAAGCACTTTAGGTAAGAGATTTGAACAATCGGGGCCTGTAGACTTGCGCATGAAAACATGAGTTGTACATGGCTCCTTTTGGGATAAAGTCTTAACATCGTTAACACTGCCACAAACAGATGTGTAGAACATCGGCAGTTCACTGCCACACAACCGTACGACTTTAGTTGAATGAAGTCCAGGAAAGAGGGAAAAAGGTCCTAGGGCTCGGCTACGAATATCCCCAAACACCCCATTTAGACAATTGGGAAAGAAACTCAGCAAGAATACCAGGACATTGGTTGGCAATCGCATCACGTAGCATATCCAGTCAAGCACAAACAATACACCACATATGCAAGCCAAATCTGAGTAACGCTAGGAGCTCGGCGTTCAGACACGAATGTACTAATCAGAAGGTCCTGGGCTCGAATCCAACAACAAAGCTGTACTTTTTGAAAAGATAAATGCAGGGATATGTATACGGATTTTCGTGTTCCGTGTATAGAAATGGGCCGTCACAGACCACACAATTTAGAGACGTAAACCAACCTGATGAGTGTGTGCGAATATATGCACCAAGTACTGAGTCACAGGTTGGTGAGGATAAGTTGGTAAACCAAAATACCCTTCCCCCAAGCGAAAAGAAAGACATTCCGGTGTTCTGAACAAGGGCATAGAGTAGAAAAACCATCGAATCGAGCTGTAACGGTAATTCTGCCTAAAACAGGTCATCGATCTGAAGCACACGATGTTCTTTTGCAGTTACGAGAAAACATACGACCCCCTCACTTGAAGAGAGGCTTCACGCAGGACAAACGTTTCAGGGAAAAGCCGTTAGGAGTCCAGGAATACCATAGTACCCAAGAGATCCTTTTTTCAACTTACGCTACCGTAAACGATCAGCATGCGCCTAAAGATCCGGATTAATGTTGCGAGACAATGTAAGTAAATTATCCCAAGGTGGTGGCATATGGTTGCGAAAGGGTGAACAAACAATCTCAAACCGTGAGGCATAAAAACAAGGAGCAATAAAACATGTATTCCTACATAATGAAACTTTTCAACATATAACACACAAACCAGATATGCAGTGAAAAACATCCGGGAGGCTCATAAATAAGCTCACAGATGCAGTTATAAGGCAAAGTTAGGGCAAACTGTTACCTATAGGAAACAAATATCACAGTCAGGCGTGACTGCAGTCCGAACACACGGCATCTCTAGTCAATCTTCTGCTCCTTCACAGTCGATGTTCTTATTGGGGGTCCTTGACGCAGCAAACCTCGAAGACGACTGACGATTTTTCGAAGCAACCGTAAAAGCCTCGGACCACCCTCTTCAGCTGGCCTGGCTTCTATCTGACCGGCAGTTACTTTATGGACAGATCCGAACAGAAGAGCGATGACTGAGCACACGATACACAGAGCATTGAATGGCATACTGAAATCTGGTGTGGGCATTGTGATAAGAACGACCGAACTGTAAATTCGGACGAAGCCATCGCCAGGACGGTGAACTGATAGAGACGATGATTCTTGGCTGATCAGATGCAAAAAACAATACTATGAGTAAGAGTCGTCAACAACATAACTGCGATTAGTAAAATGGGGGTGTTATTTATTATTGTAGTTCACGGTAAGTCAGAAGAACGCGTAAGTACGGACACGGGTGTATTGGGTACACGCGGCAAAAACTGGTCCGCTTTCGTGGCAGGCAAGCAAAAACAACTGAGTCACATATCCAGTCAACCCACAGCGCTCACACGAGCCAACCAATCGGACACATCCAATCAGCCACTCACGTCACATATCAGATCGATGGTGGAACGACGAACGGACACGCACACGCGCAAACTCTCTGACACACCGAAGCAGCTACTACA